AAAGTATGAAAGCATGAAAGTGTGCGAGTTTGTGAGTGTGTGAGTGTGCGAGTGAGTGTAAATGTGCACATACACAATTACAGAAAATTACACACGAACAAACGCAATATTCTCTTCTACTTAAGGTTAAAAGTTCAAGGAAAATTATTGCTGCGGCATAAATATTTTATTAAGAGGAAAATTTAACTCAAAGGCAAAGAAAAACACAAAAAATAGATAAAACAGAACAAAAAACAAAAAAAACAAGCAAAAACGGAAATGACAATCACTTCATTTCAACAATAAGGCGAATAACAACAAACACCCAATGAACCAAGCAACCACAATAGATGTGACAGCGTTACCATGTGAAAGCAATATCTACTAAAAATACACATAAATAAAAATAGTAGTGATAAATGCCGAAGAAGTGAGCACGAAGAAAATGTGTGAAAAAAATCTTCACGTACCTAATACCATTTCGTCCGTGTTCCAATCTGGCCAACTGCAAACAGGAAACGACTGTTACCACACAAACTCGCATACATTTAACGCAGAAGTAAGAAATGCTCCTCCTTTGGTTTCGGTACAAGTCGATAGAAATTATTGTGGCAGAACTGAAGAGACTTATATACTTTTGCTTAAAATTGTTACAAACACAACAAATTTTTTCTAAACACGTTTATGTATATCATTACCCTGGAAGTAAAAGATCAAGCACGAAAAGGTAGTACATGTGGTACAGTACACATAATTAACAAATAAAAGGAACATTTATCAATGCCTATGGCTTTTCCGCCAGCAAATATAATTGTATACCTCCAATAGTAGATACCACAATGTTTTAACAGAAACCAATAATAATCTGTTTGTGAACGAAGATCCATTCACAGCTTATACATATGTCATTTATATTTAAAATAATCATGAATCTTATTTTCGAACAATTAGAAGACTGCCTATGACAATCAATTATTAACAATAATTCTAGTTATTTTTAAAATACTTGGACCACTTATCTAAAATTTCACTTTATCTTTTGTTTTTTATATATAAAAGATTTTCTATAAAAAACACAATATGTATTAAGACATTTCTGTATTTTTTATTAGAAGTATTTCACATTATTTCTTTTTCTTTATGCATGGGCGTAATCCACGATGAGGCGGAGACCTCTGCCTTCGTAATTTTTCATCATCAAAGCACGGCTCATATTTAAAACACAAAATTTAAAACACAATAACACCAATTTTAGTTAATTTATTAAAGTTTGTCGGACTTCACAGACACGAGTTATAAGCCTGATACTTGAAGCTGAAAGAAATTATATACAACCTATATATAAACTAATTAAAAAATTCAACTGTTAAAAAATTAACTAATATATTTGTTGTTGTTTTTTCATTTTTATTCGAACTCTTCTAAATTTGGAATAATTTCTTTTCGTCATAAAGCGCGTCACTTTGGTCAAAAAAAAATTGAATTTTAAATTTTTTTAAAATTTTTTAAGTTATAGTACATTATTAAGCAAATACAATAATAATAATAATAGAATTGGAATTATATAAAAATTGGTATATGGGAAATAGTTACATGGAAATAAAAAAGTAATAAAAATCAAAAAAAAAATGAAATACATGAAATAATAAGTTGAACTATAGTGACCAGAGTGCACAAAATTTTTGTTCTAAATTGTCATATATCTAAAAGATACTCATATGTCTATACGATTCTGCAAGTTTCCGCTTTTCAGTAAAATGTGAGATTTGTGTGAATACAAAGAACTTTTAACCCAATAGAATCTACTTTTTGCTCAGAGGATTGGCCAATCGATGCTATGAATGAGTGTTATGAAATGGATTACATTTTCTTTTTATCTTATCTTACACATGTTCGAACAGTAACTGAGCAGCAGTACATCATATTTCTCCAATATTCGTTCTGACTATGTTGAGGATTACACCTCAATTTTGATTAGTGCTTTTTAAAAACAATATATTACTGATCTATTCACCTTGTATCATGACACTAAGGACCATAGATATTGTATATTGTCTTAAATGTGATGTGGATTTTTAAGGAATGTATATATGTATGTAGGTATAAGATTGATGTGTCGTAAGTTTATATTATGAGACTAGGAAATTTTAGGGAAGTATCATAGATATTGTATTTTGTCTCAAATGTGAAGTAGATTTTTAAAGAATGTATAAACATTCATGACAGATAACTAAAGTAATAGAAATTTTGGTTTTTTTTTTGAATTTTCTTTTCAAAAAGTCGGTTTTAGATCGTTTCACTAGCTAAAAACTCAATTTTTGAGCTTAAAATAAATAGGTTCAAAATAATTAAAAATAGCTATATACAAAAACAAACTGCTATATTGATATATATTATTAACTCGATAAGTAATTTGATAATCATGATTAGTTTTCAATATTTCATTCACTATGTTAAAAGATCTAGATTAACATAACCTATCATTCCTGAACTATATGTTGCTGTAATTATATAACTAATTATTACTATAGCCGGCTTAATTCTAAATTTAAAATTTGTTTTGTTTTTTGTTTTGTAAACTTACTCTTCCTAAAATTTAATTTTAGCTAAATTTGCTATTATGTAGATTATATAAAAATATAATTCAAGAGGGTCTGGCGTTAATAAAACATCATCAAAGCATACCTAATTAATTTTCTTTTAAAAATTTTAAATGATATTCCATTCTAATAAGTAGTAATCGTGTCACGTAATGTGATGTAGTATAAAATCTATTCACAGGTTTTTGTCGCTAGATGGTGTTGGTACCTATATATTTAATAATACTTATCTGATTATGTCAAAAGAATACGTCTTTGAAAGTAGACACTTCAGTCCATATTTTTTTATGAAAAGACTTGTGTAAAAATTTATATTGATTTGAAAATGAGTGAAATATCTAAAAAAATATGCTATGTTATAAGGCTGTTTGTTTCTATGAAGAGATAAAATTGCTGCAAAACCGTGCCGTATAATATTTGCAATTTACGATGAGAATAATACAAGTGAGCGCTGAATCCAGGACTGATATGGTCAATTTCGTTCCGGAAATTTGATATCAAAAACACCCTTAGCTTTGATTGGCTGAAAGTCAATGTAAAATCAAATAAAATTTTGCAACAAGTGCAGCAAAATTTCCTTACCGCGTTTGAAATCACTTAAAAACTGTCAGAAGACAGCGAAGGCACTAAACATTTACGAATTTGGAATTATTTTAAAAGTATGGGATAAAGACACTCGAAATTTGGCTACCATATACATCACCACAAAGAAATTTGATTGATAATACACAAATAATTTGTAAATCAAAGCCCTTTAACCACTTAAGATATGTTTTTATTTACTATTCGTATCTGAACCGGTGTTTGCTATATGAAGGTAAATAATATATATTCATGATTAACAGAATTTTGATAAAAGTCTTTTGAATTCATTATTATATTTTGAAGCTATATTGATAAATGTAATAACATTATTATTTATATTGTAAGGATGGAAATTTTGTAATA